AGAGGCCCCGCCTCTCCCTCTCCCGGCTAATCAGACACTCAGCTCATGTCGTCTGCATCAAAAAGCCTTCCTCGGGTGGCTGGGTGGCACAGTCGGGTTGAGCATCCAACTTCAGCTCAGGTCATGATCCCGTGGTCTGTGAGTTTGAGCCCTGCGTCGGGCTCTGTGCTCACAGCTCGGAGCCTGGAGCCTGCTTTGGATTCTGTGTCTTCCTCTCTCTCTGTGCCCCTCTCCCGCTCATGCTCTGTCTCTCTCAATCTCAAGAATAAACAAAAAATTAAAAAAAGAAAAAAGAAGAAAAGAAAGCCTTCCTTGGCAGGCCGCCATCCTCAGTCACAGTTATCTACTACTGGGCACGCCATCCCCCCAGACCTCCCCATACCTAGTAGGCACCAATACGTGTTTTGCCCAGTGACTTAATGTAGAAGACACTCTGGAAGGTTAGCCTCTCCCTCGTCAGAGGCGTACCAGCGGCTTTGTGGGACTGCTGCCTACACGCTCTGACGGAGGAACAAAAGGAAAGAGACAGTGAAAAAGTATTAAGCTAGTGTATCGGTTTGTCAAAATATGGCAAAAACTGGCATTGCAATTTCTCCATATGGACCCGTGTGACAGGTTAATGTAATTACAAGGTGACTCATAAAGAAACTTAAGAAGAGCCGGACTGATCTACTGACATGCCCTTTTCAGAAGCACATGGAACATAAAGGAAAAGACTGAATAAAAACACCACCGTCAGGCTGGGTCTCTCACCGCACACCGCTGCTGCCTTACACAACAGTACAGAAGAGTCATCTGTGCTCGCTGGGCCCAGACACGTATGCCTTCAGTTTTCAGTTCTTTAAACACACTCCCACTTCTACACCCCCCACTGCTCACTGGCCCCCGGAAATCCTTTCTGTGGACCGGAGCGGACGCTCCAGCAAGGACTTTACTCCAGCAAGGACTGCGATGGCCCCTCCCCACGGAGGAGGCAGGCACAGGGCCAGCACTCGCACGCACTGGAGGGGACCAGGATGCTCATTAATTTTGGCAGGTTTGCACCATGTTAGCTTTTTAAACCTATGAGCCCTGATAAAGGCGATGCAAAGTCCACCAATTCCTTCCAGGGATATTTTATAACTTTCTTTAATCTTTGCCAATCACCCTGAACCTTTTTTTTTTTTTTTTAAGTTTATTTACTTTGAGGTGGGGGGTGGGAGGGAAGAGGCAGAGAGAGAGAGGGATGGGGGGCGGGGGACCGTGTGCGCTTGTGCACGTACATGAGCAGGGGAGCGGCAGAGAGAATCCCAAGCAGGCTCTGCATGGTCAGCACAGAGCCCGACGTGGGGCTCGATCCCACAACTGTGAGATCATATCCTGAGCCGAGATTAAGAGTTGGACGCTTAACTGACTGAGCCACCCAGGTGCCCCCACACTAAACCTTTTGGGGGAAAAAAAGAGTCCACATACTGGTACCCCTGGAAAAAACAAAAATTGGTATGCTGGGCTCAAATAACCCCTTTCCACTTTTCTTTTTATGAGAAATGGTCTGCTCTTAAAGTCTTTTTTTTTTTTTTAATGTTTTACTTATTTCTGAGAGACAGAGGAGAGAGACAGTGTGAGCAGGGGAGGGTCAGAGAGAGAGGGAGACACAGAATCCCAAACAGGCTCCAGGCTCTGAGCTGTCAGCACAGAGCCCGACGTGGGGCTTGAACCCATGAACCGTGAGATGATGACCTGAGCTGAAGTCGGACACTTAACCTGACTGAGCCGCCCAGGCGCCCCTGCTCTTAAAGTCTTAAGGATGAGTCACACACCCACTCCCTGATCGGGTAACTCAATCTTAGTTCCCTGACCAAGCATTCTTACGTTTAACCTTAACCTTACAGTTGGAGGGATGGAATAATGAGTGAAACTGCATTTTTCATTTCCATGCAGGTATGGCTACAGAGCGGAAAGCTGCTCATCCACAATGAAACACAATGACAATCTATGTGTTACTTAAAATAAAAGCTGCACGAGTTGTTCCTTGAGGCAGTATCTAGAAAAGTTTTGCAACAAGAAAACGTGGCCACTCGTCTGGATTTCACCTGCATATGAATCCAGCGTGTAATGTGCAGCATGAAAAAGAAAAGTTTATAGAATGCTTCAACTCTAGGAAAGACAGCTGAAATTTCAAAATGTACACAGGTCACGGAAGGACCAGAGAGCTTTACTGTGCTGTTGCAGAATTAACTCATTTAAAGATTTGGCGAGTTTAAGATACAACTGCTGCTCCATCATAGCATTTCAAAGATGGGTACATACTTGCTGCACTTCAGGAGCACTTACTGTATACGAGGTCCTTTGGCGAGCATGGAGCAAGTAACTTGCCCTCAAGAGTCCTATGAAGTAGGGGTCCCCCCAGGTCACAGGTGAGGGCTCAAACAGGCAGTGAAAGCGACTAGGTCAAGATCATACTGGAGGTCACAGGTCTAGAAACTTGACTGGGCCCGGGGCCGGCCAACTCGGCTCCTGACCGGCAGTCCCTGTGCGAATGCCTGCACAGCCCGGGGCGCGGTGCCAGCAGCGCCTCCACTGACGAATCAAGCCAGCTCTCTGGAAACTGTGTTTGAGTCAGAGCGTAAAGGGACAGGACCTTAGCGGTGAGAGGTCCTGAGAGCTTCAGACTTCTGGTTTTAGGGGAGAATTAAGTACCAGCTGGGGGTGTGACCAGTGACAGCTGCCGGGCCATTCCCCCTGGGCAGAGCTCTTTTCATCTGAAAGAAAGTGAGAAGCTTTCTTTTTAAAAAGAGAATTTTTTTTAAGTGTATATATTTTGAGAGAGAGAGTGCAAGCGAGTGAGCATGATCGGAGAAGCAGAGAGAGAGAGAGAGACAGATAGAGAATCCCAAGTAATTCCATGCTGTCAGCACAGAGCCTGATGTGGGCCTTGAACCCACGAACGGTGAGATCATGACTTGAGCTGAAGTCGGAGACTTGACGGACTGAGCCCCCCAGGCGCCCCAAGAAGCCTTCTTTAGAGGGTACTTTCAATTTAACAGAGAGGGGAGACTCTACGAGTAGCCAGCAAACAACATAGGGGCACAGCGTGCCAGCACAGGAGGTGGTGCATGCAGGCAGGGAGCAGAGACAGCGGAAGCAGGGAAGGGGCTGCGCGGTGGCGGTGGCGGGGTGGGGAGTGGGTGGAGTGCGTGGCGCCTGGGCGGGTAGGAGACGATGTGGCGGACACGGGCCTGGCTGGGATGGGAAGCGGCCACGTGGACGAGGAGGGGGGCGCGGACTAGATGGGGCCGTGAGGGCAAGCCAGGCCCCGCGCCGCAGCAGCTCGGAAAGCAGGGCGGGTCTCGAGGGCGCCCGAACCGGTCAGAAAGGTTCACGTGGCCATGGCACCAGCGACTGCTGGGAAAGAGATGAAACTTGTCTAAAACGAAGACTTCTGTTCAGCAGCTGGAAACCAGTCATTTCTTATCTTATTAATAGAGTTGATTCCACTTTCTGAGATGTTTTACAGAAAATGCTGACGGATTTACTCTCTTATTTTTTTAAGCATAATAAACTAGAAGAAGCCTTCTGGAGAAAGATATTTACAGAGACAAATACTATAATAAAGAATACTATTTCCAGTGTCCAAATCTGAAACAATCCTTCATTTCCGACTTCTCTACGGAGATCTTAGGGACATCTCGCACCACTGGCATTTGGGGAGTGCCCGGATGCAACACCGCCAGAGTCTAGTAACAACGGGGTGAGCCCTGAAGGAAGCAGGCGTTCCATTTCTTTTTCAGTTTTTCAAAATAAGCACCGTCAGCTATGTAGGGACAGCCCCATGCTCCCCGCTTGTGTGAAGATTTTCCCGAGGACCACCTTTCGGCTGGCGAGGACCGGTGTTGGATTATAACTGCTTGCAGCGAAGTCGACGGGACTACCTTCCTGGCCAATGACTACATTTGATAGTTTCTTTTCTTCCTTGCTTTTTGCTGACAACCACGGACCTACATCCCCTCTACCGGGAATGTAGCAGGTGAGAGTCGGTCAAGACTATTTGAGGAGACATGGCAAAACGGTCTAAAAAGATTTGTTTCCAATGTACCACAGAGTCAGAGTTTTGAGAAATAATGCTAGAGATACTTCTAAGCCATGTTGGAATTATTCTCCGTATTAAAAGGCAGCACATGAAAGAAAACAATGTTAACTTGTGACCTGTTTCTTTTAAATCCCAACCTCGCACAAGAACCTCCCTGCATCTCTCATGACAGACCCGAATGTCACCACCATCAGCACACGTGGTTTTCACGCTAGACCCAGTGCCAACTGCTAAATCGTTTGCAACAGAAAGATTTAAGGAAATGATGAGAAATGTGGCCACTGCACACACGGACCTTGCTCTCTTCCAAAAGCCTCCCTAAGTCTGAGCCCATCAGTAAGGTCAAGAAGGCGGGACAAGAAGAGGGGACGAGAGCTGTCAGCAGCCTGAAGGCTGGAAAGCAAACCACTGAGTGGGGCTTGCGCCCCGAGCCAAGAGAAAGCCGGTGTCCAGCTGCCTGAAGGACGCCAGCCGGAAACGGGTGTCTCGGGACCCTGGACGCCGCGGGGGCCAAGCCTGAGGTCTGGTGGCTTTGGCTCCAAGTGTCTGAACAAGTTAGAAAGCCCGAGCCCCGAAAAGGCATGGTGGGCTCCCTGCAGAGCGGGCACACCCCGGGCAGCCCAGTGCCCGGGCAGGAAGGGGTTACGGAGGGGCCCTGCCCTCTCAGACTTACAAGGATGCACGTACAGACCTTTAGCTTCTGGGGAGAAACAAACCAAACCTAGCTGACGGAGCTAGTGCCACCTGAAAACATAGGAGAAATCGTATAAACAAGTAGGCGAAAACAGGGCTGCACTTTAAAAGCCAACATAAAGGAAGCTGGCTGGCTGCTGACTCCGTGACATGCCCATCGTGAATGTGGACCGAAGTCCGTGTGTCCTGCGAGTGGGCAGCGGCGCTGAGGGCGGTGCCTTGTCCTGTGTGTGTTTACCTGGTTGGAGCGTACTGGGGTGCTGCTGCGCTCCGGCTCCGGGGAGGGGAGGGGGGCTTACCCCTGCGGGCCCGGCACCCTGCGGTGGGCTCGCACTGGTCAGAGCCCCCGCAGGCAACGGCTGACCTCTCTTTAGTAGCTGCTTCTGTTCTTGCTGGCGGAAGCGCGGAGGCACCTCGCGAGGCAGGTAACGGGGCGCCGCGGGCGGCTGGCTGCTGGCAGGCGCTCGCTTGCCATGGCCGCTGCTGGGCGGGGTGCTGGTGGCAGCGCCGGGGCCGGCACCGGCGGGCTGGGGCTGGCTCGAGCAGCTCTTCGTAGGCTCTGGCACTGCAAGGAACAAAACGAAGAGAACCCAAAACTTTAGTAACACTCCTTAAAACCCAACCCACATCAAGGAAACCAAAACAAAAACCGAGGAAGAAATGGCCACGTAGTGCTCCGGGCACAGGACTGAAGTCTGGCATTTCAGGGCTGAGACCCAGTGTCCTTATGGACTGAAATCCTGAGCAGCGGGCTTTGGGCCCCAGTTTCCTCATCTGTAACATGGGTGATTCAGTTAGGTTAGAGCAGCGGTTCACACCAGCGCACTTCGGACTCAACTCAGGGCCATTAGAGCCCCATTCCCACCCCCTACACCCTCTGCCAGGGAGCTCAGTAGGGAGGAGGGAGGAGGGGAGACTCTGCATTTCTGGTAAGTTCCCAGGTGATTCTGATCTGATTCAGGTGGTCCCTGGACCCCTCTTTGAGAACCACTGGTCTTGGTCAGTGTTTTATCAAAATTAAGGGATTTTCAGATGCCCATGAATTTGCATATATTTTTGTTTTAATTCTGATAACCACACACACACGCACATGCACATGCAGGCACACATTCTGAGTTATTTGAATAATTAAAGCATTTGTGGTGATGCTATCAATAGTGCCAACTACACTCTGTTAAAGATTTACTTGAAAAGAATGCAAGTGGGCTAACTTGCAAATGATGTATTTGAATTAAGTGACAGCCAAAATGCCATCTGAGTGTTGCATAAACAAAAGCTTCACAGTAATTTCAACAGAAGTGAGAGCAGGAGAGCTGAATGGTGACCCCGACAGGGCTGTGTTTCTAGAAAGAAGCAGACCAAAGGCAAAGGGGATCTGAGGAGTCATCCTGCATTCGCAAGGGAGCACAGACACATCAAACGGAAAGAATCTGAGCCTCAAAAGTCATTCCCATCTTGAACTTGAGACACGAGTATCTAGGACATTACATTTACCTTGTTATTTGAAAAAAAATTTTTTTGCTACTTAATTTGTAAATGTCTTTGTGCAAAACAAGTTTACACCTAGTTCGGTGCATATCTTAAATGCATAAGGAGTGTTATGAAAATCCTTCCATCCATACTGGGGGGAGCACGAGACATGACTGCTGGTCTTCACGTCCCCATACCAGGCAGGGGCTCTGCCGTGCGCCCGTGGCCCTGGGCCGTCTACGTAGTCTGCGTCCGCAGGGCCTCTGCCCACTGCCTTTGTGTCGCGCTGCCCAGCAGACCCATAATCCTACACGGAGCCACTGCTCACTCTCTCCACTCCTGACTCCGATCACGGCCATGTAGTCTGGTGTCGTGACGAGCGCACGTCCCTAACAGAGGGCACCCTCAGCGCTCCCGGCCTTCCTACAATTTCCTGGGTCTGCCTAGTTCCACTGCTGTCAATGATTCACTCAAAGACCTTTCGCTTTGGAGCAGCTAATGCCTTTATCTCCTTCTCCCCAGACGATGAACTATTTACTTTCCAGAAGAAGTAACAGCCATGAGGCAAAGCCCTCAAGTTTCCGCCACTACAAACACATGAGCATCACACTGTTCTCTGTCCCAGGCTTCTGTTACTCCTACCTGAGGCACATACTGTATTGCGTCAATTCTAAGACTGAAATCTCTTCAGATGTTAATAGCATTTACATTGCGATGTGTCTTCTGGTCGATGCCATGTCAGTCAATTGGCAGTGGTTTTTTTCTTTCTTGGTACGTGAACACTGGCGCATTCCACAACGAACGTTTCGGAGGCAAAGCAACACGGTGCCTTCCAGGGGAGCCCGTCTCGGGATTTTGTCTGCTCTGGTCCTTAAACCCGGGACACTGTCCAGAGCCAACACGAGGGCCCAAAGCTTAAGAGTGAGCCTCTGATTAATCTTTGCTTTATAAACACAAGTACACAAGAGAAGGGATCTGGCCACTTGGGTTTATGCGGAGAATGGAGGAAGGCACATCTGCAACGTCTACCTTGCCCAGGGACCGTGTGGCGCTCTCAGCGACCAGCTCCCTCATCGCAAACCTCTGCTACTTCCAAAGACCGCAACCACCACTGCCCTCCTTGACCCCAGATTCCCCTCCAGCCTCCTCCCAACTCCCCCCGCCGTCAAGCTTCTCGGAGGGCCTGTGGAGCCGCCTCTGCTGTTCCCTCACCTACCGCTGGCCCTTCCCCAGCCCATCTTGCCCTCTACTCTGCGGAAATGACATTCATTTGGCACTTGCTTGATGCTAACATCCGATGGCACATTCTGGGCTATCTTCTTGACCTCTCTGTTGTCTTAAGTAGCGATGGTCACTTGGCCACCCCAACATACCCTCTACCTCGGCCTCCGTGACTCCAAAAGTCCTTGCCTGGATTCCCGCTGGCCTCTCCAGCCCCCGCTTCCCGCTCTCCTCCGTGGGCTTCTTCTGCCCTTCCTTAACCTTTCATTGCAGACGCACTCTGTTCAGACACTCACCCTGGGTCATCCCGTCTCCACCCACGGCTTTACCCATCAACCCTGTGGTCACGATCCGAGCCCCCGATGACTACCAGAGAGCCACACCTGGATGTCTTAAAATTCCGCGCTCTCCCCGCACTCGTCAGTATCCTCACTCACTCTTCATCTGAGTTTTGCTACCACTCTCCTGGCACGTGGCTCCACGCTGGAAACCTGGGGGCCTTCCCTTACTCCACCCCAACCTACCATTAACCAACCACCAAACCGTGACGTTTTAGCTTATCTTAAACGTCCCTTCTAAGGACCCTCAAGCTCACCCGCCTGTTTCCATTCCTATTGCCCCGACCAGAGCCTAGAGGACCAGTGTGCCTCATCTGACCGCTATGAGAGCTTGTCGGTTTTTTGTCCTTTAAGCAAGTATGTATGTATGTAAGTATGTACTTCAGTATGTACGCAAGTACGTAAGTAACCATGTGTGTAAGTGTGTATGTAAATAAGTATGATGTATGTAGTAAGTAAACATATAAGTATGTAAGTCAGTATGTACGTATGTAAGTTAGTACGTATGTAAGTAAGCAAGTACGTGTGTGTCTATGTATTCACAGAGTTCATAGATGGGAGGGCAGAGGGAGAGACAGAACCCCAAGCAGGCTCCACACTGTCAGCGTGGAGCCTGACGTGGGGCTCGATCCCACGAACTATGAGATCATGACCTGAATCAAAATCAAAAGTCAGTGCACAGTGACTGAGCCACCCAGGCGCCCCTAGACTGCTCACCAGTGGGCCTGTCTCCCCGCGTCTGATGTCAGCACGGTGCCCGAAACACAGGAAGTGCCTAACAAGCACTAAAGGACTTGGCTGTGTCGTAAACACACGTCTCAAGTTAAAAAGCAATGCAGAAATAGCAGAATACAAAGAAAGTAACTGGTAGAACAGAAAAAACACCAGACTGGTAAACGGAAGCCTTGGGTATCAGGCCAGTTACCGCTGATGGTGACTATGATCCTGGTCAAGAAGCTTACTATCCCTGGAGCCGTTTCCTCACCTGGACATGAAAGGTTTAGACCAGCTGACTCGCTAAGGCTCCTTCCAACCCTGAGTAAGGGAATAAGGGAAGACAGGATGCGGCACGGTTTTACCTCTGTGACGACTATCGCTTCAGAGTCTGCTGCATTTCTCCACTGATGCCCGGTCCCTCTCTGCTCCTATTTCCTTGGCCGTGGTTCGGACATGGAATGTGTTTTATAATTACTTAATTTGAAGATTATTCACAAAGGCATGGGAGATGAATATCCATTCTGTTTTTCCTTTTTTAAAAAGAAAGCTATAAAATCTATGATAGGCTGATTTTTAAACATGGGACTTCACATATATTTTTTCGGACATTGGTCTTTAGTCAATTAAAACAGCAGAAGTTCTTACGCATTTGCCCCAGTGAGTTGAAAAGTTCTATGTACACAAACATTCACAGGAGTGTTTGTGGCAGTTTTTATCCCTAACTGCCCCAAATGGGAAACCCCCCAGATGTCCTTCTACAGTGAAGGATGAACGAACTGGTACGACACAAGGGGAAGTTAGCACTGAAAGGACGCGAGCTCTGGGGTGCGGTTAAGAGTCTGCCTCTTGATTTCCACTTAAGTCATGGTCTCCCGGTTCCTGGGATGAGCCTTAGGGCTCTGCACGGACAACAGGGAGCCTGCTTGGGATTCTCTCTCTCCCCCCCCGCCCCTCCCCTGCTCACATTCTCACACTCGCTCTCTCTCAAGAAATAAACTTAAAAAAAAAAAAAGTGAGCTATCAAACTGTGAAGAGAAGTGAAAGAATGTTACACGCATATTGCTAAGTAAAAGAAGTCAGTCTGAAAAGGTTTCATGCTGTATGATGCCTACTACATGACATTCTGGAAAAGGCAGAACTATGGACACAGTAAAGTATCCGTGGTCGACAAGGGCTTGAGGAGGGCAGAGCACAAGGGGCTGGCAGGGGTGGAGCACAGGTCTTGCAGGGGTGGAGCACAGGCGCTCGCAGGGGTGGGACACGGGTCTTGCAGGGGTGGGGCACGGGTCTTGCAGGGGTGGAGCACGGGCGCTTGCAGGGGTGGGACACAGGCGCTCGCAGGGGTGGGGCACGGGTCTTGCAGGGCCCGTGGGGCACGGGTCTTGCAGGGGTGGGACACAGGCACTCGCAGGGGTGGGGCACGGGTCTTGCAGGGGTGGAGCACAGGCGCTCGCAGGGGTGGGGCACGGGTCTTGCAGGGGTGGGGCACAGGACGACACGTAATCGCGGACACACGACGCTCCGCACCTGTCTAACTCCACTTGAAGTGAAGTGTCCAACCCTCAAATGTAAACTGTGGCCTTTAGTCCACAGTAACGTACCTACGCTGCTTCGCAGACCGCAGTGAAGGCACCACACCGAGGGAGACGTCCGGGGGGACACAGGTGGCAGGAGAAACTGAGGCTGTGCTGGGCGGGTGGAGGAAGTACTGTGGGCACTGTCTGTGCTTTCTGCTCAATCTTGCCATAGACCAAAAACTGCTCTAAAGAACAAAGTGTATCAGGAACCACGCGCACTGATGGCGAGCACGCCGGCTCCT